GGGGGGAGCCCGGGCCACCAGGCCCTCGCATTCGAGCCCCAGCCCCGGGCCTGGCTCCAGGGTGGGGCCCTGGCTGCGCCATGCCGAGCGACGTCATGGTCCTTGATTTTAATTTATTCATAAAGGGCTTTTGAACTGCTCTTAGTCTGACCCGTCACCCAGGACCTGTTTGCCTTGGGGGGACCCTACCAGGGACATATAGCCCTCGACAACATAGCTCCTAGGATCACTCGGGTACTCAAACCCCTCCACCACAATAAGGTGGCGGTTCAAGGAGGGGTACTCTCCTAATGAAATTGTAAAAAACAATTGTTTTTTACAATACTCTCTTAAGGAAATTGTAAAAACCATTTTATTTTAAATCTAGATCAGACCAGATCTAGAAAAAAACCACAACCAGGACTATCAAATATCCATCCGTCCATTATCAATACCACGTATTCCTGAACAGAGACGCGGGGTTGTTGGAGCCAGTCCCAGCTGATATTGCGTGAGAGTGACCTGTCCACCCTGGACAGGTTGCCGGTCCAACACAGGGCTTCAGTGTAGACAAATTACCATACACACTTTACTCAGAGGTCAGGAGCGTTTGAGCAACAGCTGTAGCTGCTGTGAACCGGCAGGAGAAGACTGCTTGCTGTCTTCCGCGCTGTCCCAGTTGCACCGCAGGCTGCGTCTGTGTGCGCGTCTCAGTGCTCATCGCTTCGCGTTTTCGTCACGCCGCTTCCCTTTTAGCTCTCTCAGAACCTGTCCAATTAAAACACCAACATATTAGAGTAGTCGACTGCCTCATCTGTGCATTGGAGTCATGGGCCCCGCAGCGCAAGGGCTCCGCCGTGTCATCCAGGAATGCGTCGCCTGGCTGCGTTGCATGACCGGGCTCCGGGTGCAGCCAAAGCCACCTGCTGCGACCGCTGTGTGAGTGGGCGAGTGGGCGCGCACGTAGCTACTGCTGGCTGCTATTAACTGTTGGTTGGGTGCTAAATGCAACTGTGAATGTCACTCGGCTTTTTCCCATTAGGCGCCACCACAACGAATCGTCACACTGACGATTCGCATGTTGACATTTGGCACGTGTTTTACGCAAAAAACATGATGTTAATGTTTTTAATGTATGTGGAAATAAACATTTTAATATCTCTACATTTTTACCAGTAGTTGTTGTAGTGGCAGGAGGCAGTGGAATAGTGGGCAGAGCAATAAACATTTAATAATAAACTGTGTGATTTGAGTTATGAGGGTCCTGTGCCCCAGGCAACATGTTATCAGATACCTCAGTGCTTCGTAAGAGATGAGTATTTGGATTGGGAGAATCCATGCTTCATTATGAAACAGACTACGTTTTTATTTGTTAGGTTACACCAAACATCTGCTTCATATAAGAATAACAAGAACAGCTAGAAACACACTCTACCTGAAAACTGTCATTTGAAAGTTTGATTTGAGGGTTTACCTTGGCATACTATAAACATTTGAGTGATTTTTATTTTTCAGTTCTTTATTTATGTCTGTTTCTCAGTGCAGTGTAGTAATTCATGTAGGATCTGAATAATATAATAGTCACATGAAATGACAGTTATTTTGCCTTTTACATTCAGAAATACAAATCAAAATTACAATGTTGCCTCCTAAATGTCGCATGAGCTGCTTAACATGGGAACGTTAATGCAGAAGCAGCATACAGACACTGTAACAGGAACGTGAGCATCAGTGTAAATCAAATAACTGAGTCTTATAATTTCAGCACATGGTCAATGATAATAATCGTGCTTTTAGTGCTGACAGGTACAGGCGTGCAGAGACCACATTCACAAGCATGTAATGACAACTAGATCCCACTAGATGGCGCAGGACAGATAACAAATAGGGGAGCTTTGAATTGCACCATGGGAAGGAAGTACTCAGCAGTGAATTGCTTCCTGACTGCTTAGATGATTCACAGACAACTTTGATGTTGTGAGAAATACAGGCTAAACTTAATTTTTATTGACAATATAAAATGTCAGCTCCTTCACACAATCCCCAGGCTAAGGAAACATCTCATAAGACACCAAAAAATAAACAGAACATTCAGTCTCTTCTCTGATTAGTGGTGACCACCTTTTGAATAATGGACTTTTATAGGAGCAACTATTTGGGAGGTTTGTGGCCTGTACAAATGCAGGAGAGCTACACTACTGGGCAAAAGTTTTAAAATACCTCCTTTTTTTGTTGGTATTAATTTAATTCAGCAACCAAACACAATGATGCCATTTTTTCCCCCTACAACTGAAATCAAATATTGTTTGGATAGACACCAATGTTGCAGACGTTCCCACAAATTTGTTGCAGTGTTTGCAGTTGTTTTGTGTCACGTTTTGGTCAGGTCACATTCCATGTAGCTATTATGCTTCCTTTTTAGTCACCGTGTGTCTCCTTGTGGTCATTTTGGTTTATGTTTCACTTGTGTTTTTATCCATGAGGTAAGTTTCATTCCCTTTTAAGTCATTTTGTTTTGCTATACTTTTGGGGGTTTGCTTCACTTTGAAGACATTTTATGTCTCTTTTTAATAAATTTGCATCTATATTTACTAATTTATTGTCTTTATGTAATTATTTGGTTTACTTTCCAACACTAAATGTCCTCTTGTCCATCCATGAGTGTATATAGAAAACATTTAACAGACCATATTGTCCTTTCATAAGCTCCGTGTACATTTTGCTCCCAGTTGTGTGTTACTATAGAAACAGTTAAATGCCAGTCTCCCAGCAGAGAGCCAATGGACAGCCACAGTAAGGTGTCTAGTTACTCCCAGTCAGCCCACGCTAGCTGGGCCAGGGGAGGGGTTATTCCGCTCGTCAGTAAGGGAAAGTTGGCTGCGCTGGAACAAACCTCAATACCGTGTAGTGGCCATGAAACGCGATTTCTAGTCTCCGATAAAGAGATTTGTTTCTTTTTTTTTGTCCCTGTAGAGCAATACTTGGAGAGTAGTAGATTCTTCTAGCTGAATTCCCTGTGGAAAGGTAAACCTGTTGCCTGCCTGCGTCGCCGACTGCTATCCGAGATGTTGCTTTGTGGATGGGATGGCGTCCGGTCCCGTCGGTGTGCGCACTCTTAGCGTCGTCGGAGCACGAACATTTCCCTTCCAACAGATTTTGTAGCTCTTCTTGCCTGGTAAGTTTTTTTTAAAAAACATTCAAAAACTGATGAGAATAAACTTTGCGTCGTAGCTAACTTGAGCGTAACAGTTAGCCAGCGTATTGAATCTGCTGTCGCAAAGCTAAAACCCAGAAGCGTCTTTTAAATAAGAAACAGCAGCTGACAATGCCGTTAGCGGGATACTTTCAGGCTAGTAAATAGTCTGTTTGTGGACATTTTTATTCTAGCTGAAAGTATTTCTGTGTGTTGCATTACATTCCTAACGATACAGCTCCTGGTGTCTGACATGGGGCATCTTAGGTTTAACTTTAGGAGCGAGGAGACGCCACTACAGAGCTAACAGGGTGTCTAGTTATTTAACTGTCTCAGGGTCATCAACCTGCACTGTCTGTAAGTCAGAGCAACATGTGCAATATAACACAATTTCTTGGATACAGACTGAATGTTTTATGGGGTTATACTAACGCGGCTTGTAGCCCCTCCCCCTTCATTTCCATAGAAAGGTTGTAAAGTCAAAGGTCATGAGGGTTTTGAATGTGTCCTTCATGACTAAAGGAGGAACTGGTGAGGGTGTATGATTGAGCATCATGAACATTCCTATCTAAAGCTGAGATGGGGATGTTGATTCATAACAGGAAATTTTTGGTTTGTGTGTTGGGAAGGGGGTTGGAGTGAGGTTTTGCATGTCTCACAGAAGTCACAGCAACCCTGTGATTAACAGAAGTGCAGCGGATGAGGAGGTTGAGGTGTGAGGGTCGTCGGTCCAGAGCTCGGCTGATAATCATGGAGCAGCCGTGACTCCCTCTCTGGTTGCTCCTGATCCTGGCAGTGCTGAAAAACAAAACACCAACACCCAGAGTGGCTTACTGGTTAGTTAGACAGGCCAGTCCATAACTGGACCATACTGGGTTCAGTGTTGTCATGGTCAGTGTTGTGTGTCCATCAAAAACCTGTGTTTAGTCATTGTTAATAACCTAGAAAGGATTGTTGGCTAATTGCCTGAATTGTAAATGGTTTGATTGATGAAAACCACCTTCTGGGTTTTCCAGTTTATTGGATGAGTCACGGTTTCTGCATCATTGTCACCACTGTTTTGTTCACAAGAAACTATAAGAAAAGTCAGTCGCAGCTGTTAAACCAACCACCATTTTACAGTTTTGCAGGAAGGAAGAATAGAACAAATGGTATATTAACAAGCAGCGACAGAGGAGATCCATAAACTATGTCTTCATTCATTCATTCATTCATCCATTCATCATCTACCGCTTAATCCCTAAACTATGTCTTAGTTAGCATTTTATGAATTCACTAACAGAGTCAGGTTTTGGTTTGCTCTATGCATTTTGAAAACATTGGTCTTTGTATCAGCACTAATGTTGGCTCAAAGATCCGGGCCTTTGTAGACACACATAGTGTTTTTGAATTTGAATCGTGTGCTTGCATGTTGCATAATATAGCTTGATTCTGGGAACAGAGGTTCACTCAGAGTTTGTTGATGAATTTTCCTGGCTTGAAAGATTTTCACCTCAATGCCGGTGCAGAGTTCCTGCTCTCACCGATTTCTGTTCCAAATGTGTTTGCCAGCTGAGACCACAGTTCTGATGTTTGGAGGATATGAACAAATTCCTTCTAATATCTTATGTTTTATGAGCTTTTGGAAATAGAATTGGAGTCTGGTGTTTTATGGATAATTACTTCAAAAGTGTAGCTTACTCAGGTTTTCAAAAGGTTTCTGATCTCTTGTTCCTGTCCAATGTAGAGGGCTAAGAAGAAACAAAACTAAGATGACTTGCACCTTTTTGGCTTGGGCTGAAGTGCACTTTTCCAGGGGATCATTTTCAAACCCATTTCATAGCTGTGTCACAGACAGGAAGGTGGGAGGACAAGCTTCACCTAAGTGCAGATTAAGGAGCACTATCACATTTCCAAGATTATTCTGTTTAAAATTCTTGCAACTGTGTCCAAGATTGTCAGACACTTAGCAGAGGCAACAGACTAAGCCTGTGTGGGAATACCTGTGTTTGAAAAGAGAAGGAGAGTGAGGCACTGAAGTGGTGAAGGCTGTCTGCGTTCACTGGTTTGGGCCACTGCCTCCTAAGCCCCCTCAATAATGAGCAGGACCATAGTCCAGTGATCGTGGAGCTGGCCTGTACAGCAGCCTCAGCATGGATTAAAAAAAAAAAACATTCCACTGTAGGTCTCTGTCAAAACAACAACAGCTACAAAACAATCAGTCCTCACAGCACCTGCTTTGCCATTCTCATGGCTAATGAGCAAAGTGGGTAGGAACCCACTTCACCTCACACTTCACACCTCCCATTGATGAGAATGGTTAACCTGCATTCCTGGCCTGTGACATGCTTACTCATTAACATGCCGCTCCAAACTGTGATTCATGGAAGGAATGTTGTTTTATGTTATTACTTTCAGCAGTAAAGCCTGACACCTTTAATGCCGCTGACCTAGTTTATGCTAAGAGGTTATGGGTAATCTTATATTCTAAGATTTAACTACCAAACACAACAAAACTCATACCATTGCTTCTTTTTGACATGTTAAGTCGAATTTGGTACTTTTTATCCAAGCTAGCCACATAGCTCTCTGAATTATAGTGGTCATTTGACAGTCTCGTCCAAAATGATGCATCTCAACAACTGTCAGATGGAAAGACGCAAAGTTTGGTACAGACATTTTTCCCCTTCTTACTTTGTCATCTCCACTCACCTGACAAATCACTGCACTGCAGAACCGTGATTGCTGATTTTGCAAAGCTACAGAAATTTGTAGACACAGCTTTGTCGGTTCCACTGGGATAGTTGGTGACCACTTGATGAGCACTTCTCTTTGTGTATACCGGTGCCTGTGATAACAACTATAGGTGTGTTTCCACAGGAAACCGTGTAATTTTGTTCACAGGAACTAAAGTCCAAGAACATTCCCATGGCTAAAAGTCCTTTGAGCACAATGTGATTTGGGTGGGGGGGGGGGCAAAAACTATGCCCTGGAACTCAATTTAGAGGCAGAGGACCTAAGTTCCACGAAAGGTTACTGTTCCCTGGGGGAAGTTCCTCTGGGGGAAATGAGGCTTATGACATTTAAACAGCTGTAAATAAATGAAAAAATGGATCAATGGTAGTACCTACTAAAGGAGGCTACAGGTATGGTTTAAGCACATGACTGTAACACACAGGTACACACAGCTATGCTGCAGTGAGCAAATTCACCGAGCTAAGGAATGGACTAGATGTCTGTAGCTTTGTCATGCTTTGTGATTTGCCTCTACAGTGGAAAAAGTCAAAAGAAATTTAAGGACTGTTGTTCTATAATGAATGAATGATGATCAAATGGGGTCTCATGTACTGTGGTACCCATCCCAGCCATGATTGATGTTTGGTTGATCTTGCTTGGGAATTATGTGTCATTTGCTGTTTGGGTGTGTTTTCATCTGCTTTGTGTTTGTGTAGCAAGTCCAAATATACTGTGTGCTGTGTGGGTTTGTAAGGAGAAAGAGTGAAAAACAGACGGCAAACGTTTAAAACATGAGCACAGCTGTCAATGGCGATCAGAAGGAAAAATACTGTTTTTCATAAGTTTCACCAGCCCAAACCATGTGGGCAGCATGGTGGGGTTGGCGCTGTCGCTTCATAGGAAGAAGGTTCTGGGTTCGAGTCCCGGCTGACCAGGTGCCGTTCTGTGCTGAATGTTCTCTCTGTGCATGTGTAGGTTCTCTCCGGGCACTCCAGCTTCCTCCCACAATCCAAAGACATTCAGCTTAGGTTGACTGTGACTCTAAACTGACCAGGAGTGAGTGAGTGTGGGTGTCTGTCATCTGCATCATGCATGGATGTTTATATGCAGCACAGGCTCTGATAGTTTCTCAGTTAGAAGTAGTCTGTCAAACCTGGAGCTGCATATTTAGTTCTCAGCATGGTGGGACTGAGAAAACTGACACCATTGTCTCCAGTGTTAAGAGAGAATTAGTCATAGATGAGAGATGAACTTGTCATTTCATTCAGGGGCCTAAGCCTAAGAATGCCTGTTACATTTGGCCTGCTTGTTTGGTTTGTTGACATTTACAACAAAGAAAAGGTACAAAACCTAAACGTGGATGTCCTACCTTTGTGGCTTAATATTCTAACATGAAAATCAAATCACCTAACGTAGCCAACCTGTTTTGTCCCCAGGCTTGGCACCTAGGCGTGGTGTGGCATGTGTGTGTGTAAACTAAATCCATGTGAAAAACTAAATCCATGTGAAGTACTGTAAATGATCTGTTGTGATATTCCTTCCTATATTCTACACCAAAAACTGAATGTGCTCTATCACAGCTGTCCAGAGGGTAATCTAATCTGCATAGTTGAAGCTTGACCCAGTTATAGTTTTTATGACGTGTAATCAGGGAAGAGAAGTGTGTGTGTGTGTGTTATTACATATCCTGTGTGTACACCAGCAAGCAGCTTCAAGATCACATTAAAAGGGTGGCACTTGGCTTTTGTAGATTAGTGCCCACCATGTGGAAGCCACTGTCTTAAATCCCAGAATCTGATGGAGGCTCAGGGTAATAAATTGCTACTTTGTTGAATGTAACTTGAGGAAAGCAGGGTGTGTGTCTGTGTGTATGCACACGTCATATGCTTACGCTGCCTTTAGAAGATGTGAGAGTTTGCCCAAGGGTGTGAGAGAACAAATAACGTTGATTAGAGCCAGTGTTGCATACATCAGTGCATGGGGTTGTTGTTGTGTGTCAGCGTATTAGCTGGTCTCAGACTGACAGGCCAGGACAAGTAGGTTGTGCATTCTTACAGGATTAGACTTGTGTCAGGATTACAATTATGAACTAATTTAAAACAAGGAATCAATTTCATTTGATGTGTTTTGTTCTAACAGGAAATGTGGAATAATGGCCCAGTAACCAAAGCTAACATGAGGATTGTAATGTACAGATTAGTGTTGTCACGATACCAACATTTTGGTACCGGTACCGGTACCAAAATGTATTTCGATACTTTCGATACTTTTGGATAGTTTTTCAGATAAAAAGATAACGCAAAAAATGTCATTACTGACTTTATTTTAATAGAAAATCTTAGAATAACATCAAAATAAAATTCAAAATACTAGGCTTTTCTTATTGCACTCAAAAAAATTTTTTTTAGAACAGTCAGTATGAGTAAATAAAAAGTATGAAGTTAGAAGTTCTAACTTAGAAAAAAATATTTTCATTACATATAGCCTGTCTTAAGTAGGACCAATGTTTTTAAATGGTATGTTACCAGTCTTTATCTGATTTGACCTTGTACTGGAGGGTTCTTCATCACATGTCCCCTTTGTCTGTGCACACAGGGAAGATGCATGTGTCTCTAGCAGAAGCTCTGGAGGTTCGAGGAGGTCCGCTCCAGGAGGAGGAGGTCTGGGCAGTCCTCAGCCAGAGTGCAGAGAGCCTCCAGGAACTCTTTCACAAAGGTATGAACAGGTGAACTGAAGTTTGCAAAGATCTTTCCTAGAAATGATTGTACATACCCAAAGCTAAGTTTATATGCTGTTATACTTTTTGTTCTTCCTGTGCTATTTTTGAACAACCTACTCTCTAAATATCTTCTCAATGTTGTTGTAATGTGGGGGTTTAGTGAAAATCTTCTTTGTCCAGACAATGAATGTTTCCCAAACCAATTTATAGATAGCTTTTTCATGAGCTTCTGTCACACTGCGACTCTCTGTTTTGTAAACCTTTCGATCACTTCTAGTAATATTTCAAATTGATATCAGTGTATACTCTTGTGTTTCACTAATTTCTGTGACTCATCTGCGCCTGTAAATGTCTGAGTGCCACTGAAGGCAGAAAGAGATAAGGCCACCTGATAGTGGTTTTTTAACTTCAACAATGGATTACTATGGGAGGCTTAAGGAGAACAGGAGATGTATAAAATAATGGCTTACGATTTATTTCTGTAAAAGTCGCTCACTTTCCAAAATGATATTGGATCAGAATCTGAGAATAAAGTGTCACTTTGCAGATTATAGCCATTATTATAGCCATTCCTCAGCTAATGATTCTCTATGGGGGGAAAGAAAAGCTTTATGGGCAAGTGTCTGTCATGCGATGAAGGCAGAAGTTATAGTGATGTGATTTACCACTATCTCAAAATTGCTTCACAGCCCAGCAATATTCCTGGAAGGCTTGTGTTTAATTCTGGAAGCAGTGGACAGGATGTGAGTCACCAGGCACTGCAGTGCTCAGTGAGTCAGGAGGCCTGGGTGGTTCCTGGGTGGTTCCTAGTCTCATACAAAACTCCGGTGCACCTGATGATGCCAGCCATGTCCTTTAAACTATTTACCACTGGCTGTGTGACACCTGGCATGCTGTAGGAATTCCCTCTTATCAGTCTACTGTTATGCTCAGGCTGTGAAAAGAGGATTGAACACAAGTGTTCTTGTACTTCAGACATAAAGCCTTCGGAGATAACTTTATGCATGTTTTAAGGATAAGACACAAGGTTGGATACCTGGAGTGTTTTTGATTGTTTATTCTTGACATTGTGCTGTCGTGATTATAACGGTTAGCACAGCCGTCTTTTGCCTTCAGTGTATAGTCGTGTAGCTATACTGAGTAAATGGTGGCCTCTCGTGTACAGATTTAGACTGCTGAGTGCAGCTAAAATTTGAACAGCAGATGTTGGAACCAGCTATTATATAGTCACTGAGCTATGTAAAGAAGTGGGACTACTACAGGCCTGGATTAATAACAGCAGCCATTTAAATTCTGATTTGACAGTTTGTTTGATGTCCTAGTCTGTCTGCCTCGTGTGCAGTGAACGTCAGGATGTTTACGAATATATGTAGGGGGCCGTCCTTTTATATGACTCTACAGGCACTTTTCAAACCTAGTGAATGGACTCACATTGTTGAACACTTAACCACAAGCAGGTCAATGTCATGCGTGCAAACAGTAGTGGTTAGTGTAGATGTTTAGTCAAGAATGATTTGTTTGAATAAGTGTTAATGTGTGAGTGTTTCAGATTTGTTAGAGGAATTTCTCCACATGGATCATTTAAGATAGCTCATCGTCTCCTTCACTTGTCTCTCTCTGTGCCTGCTCCTTTGTTCACTACTCTGCCGAGGCCATCTACTGCCCTACATCGGTCGCTCTAATGGCATGTTTGCTGTGGAGTTTAATGCATGGGACACAGTATAGTTTGTAAGCATCTGCTTTTAGAGAACAACCTCAGGCTCAGATAGCAGCTCGTCACACCAACAGACTACATCATTATAGGCTTGTCTGTACTTTGAAGTCACAAGGGAAACAAATGGTGCACACCCAAGTCACATTTTGAACTTTGTGATTAGTGTAAGTGTCAGTATTCATTAGGAGTTAATTGAAATGGTTGATTTAATTTGTTATCAATCACGAAACATGTCTTCTCAGGCTTTGTCTTGCACTTCTGCTCGGCTCTGTTATCCAGAGCAAGGTTTTTGTGTAGGATGCACCTAGTAACCCAGTCTACTTTTATGTAAAATCTCCAAATGGTCTCATGAGTTTTAAACAGGAAACTTGTATTTACTTAGTAGATTCCAGCCTTTGAAAGCAGATTTTTGGTGCCTTATATCCAGTTCGTCTCTCTGTTCATCTCTCTGCTCCTCTCCGAGTTAAGTAGCAGTCAAAGAAAAGAATTTTGCAGCGCTACTCAAACATTCCTTTGTATATTTTTAAAACGTTCTCTAACCATAGCCCTGGCTGTGGCTTTTCAGGAAAAGAGAGTTACGCTGTGTAGTCATTCCTTTCTGCTTCCATGCCTCAACAGTTATTTTCTTGCAAGCTAAGAAAGCACCATGTGTTTTTGTTTACTTCAATCATCTTGAGTTTCCATAAGCACCGAAGCCTTGGGGAGAAACATTCGCTGTGATTTGATACGTCTACAGTTGCTACAAATGTTAGCATCCACCTTAAAAACACAGTGCTTCACATTAGCACTGTGTCAGTGTGTTAAATAATGAAAGTTCAATATGAGGTTGTTTTTGTTTCTGCTCTTATGTTCAGTGGTTGAATGGCTTTTTTCCTGCTTCAGACCCTGCAGCAATGGGCTTCATCATCTCTCCCTGGTCTCTCCTGCTCATGCCCTCTGGCAGCATCTCATTCACAGACGAGTATGTCACCCAGCAGGACTTAAGAGCCTTTACAGCTCCAGAGGTGCTTGGAGGGGTCTCCATGGATTCAGTCTCCGACATAGAGAAGGTATAAACGTAACATAACCCATGTGGTAACAGAACCTTAAAACACTGTTTAGTCTATTTTATATTAGTGTCACTAGTGTGCATTTATCACCTCGTGTTTGCTAGTATGCTGTGTTCTTCATCGCTGCTTTTTTCTTGGCAAGTGAACATCATCTTTTGATCAGCGGAATAGTGTGAACCACTGGGAGGAAAGTACGTTGTTCATGTGACAAACATTGTTCATGTGAACATTAGACTGTAAGATAGTCAGCGCTGTTGCCTCCCTTTCAGAAGATTAGGGGTTCAAATCCACCTGAAATTTGGGGCAGCCATGGCTAAGAAGGTAGAGTGGTCGTCTCCCAATTGGAAGGTTGATGATTTGATTCCTGGTCTCTCCAGTCCACATAGTGAAGTGTCCTTGGGCAAGGCAGTGAACCCCGAGTTGCCCTTGGCGGCCAGGCAGTGTCTGACAGCGGCACCGTCATTTGCCCACAGGGATTAATAAAGTATAATAAAGCTATGTGCATATGGAGGCAGAGTGGCACTGTAGTAACAAGGATTACTACTATGTAATGTAATAGGATAAATCCATTGCCAGTGATTTATTTTGTGCACATTCCTGTCCATCTTATTTTAGTGATTTGTAAATCACCTAGTGTACCTTAAGATTGAAGGGCAAGATAAATGACATGTACAAGTGAAACTACAGGAAACGTTTTTGTTGGATCTTTCAGCGTTCTACTATTAACTGTATTAAGTCAGTTTTGTGTTCCAGAGATTAACTATTGTGTCTTTTAAGTCTTTGATGGAGTGATTATGTGTGAAATGGAGGGTGTAGAATCCCTCTGTTGTTGTTAAAGGGCAATCGGGTGCTAAAAGCACATTTTTGGTTGTGTCACACAACACCACAATACTGGTGTTACATAGTATTTGCAGCTCTGAAGTAATTGTACAGTTGCAACATACAAGAACTGCAGCCTTTTAATCTCCTGCAATGCAGCACACAACTTCTTTCACATATATTGAGAACCACGCCCCCTCTATTCAGCGCTGCCCCTTTGGAAGGAGAGCTAAAAGCTTGCATGACTGGATTCCAGGCTCTGGCACAGCCCCACAGACCTCAGCACAGTTTTGTGCTGAGTCAGTTTTCCAGCCATGGGCCTGTCTCCCCAGTTGAGTTATTTCAGTGCAGAAGAGATGGTCTGTTTCGCTCATTATCAGGGACTATAGATAAATATACGTCAGCTATGAACGCCACAATTTTCCTTTCACTTTTCCTACATATGTGGCGGTATTGTTTCTTTTCACAGGCAGCTCCACATTTTCTGAATGTGCGAGTGTCTTCAAATTTCTACTCTGTGATTGGTTCCTAGCAGACCTTGAAGGTTATGCTGCATTCTTTGGCAGTCCCTGAATTGTTCTTTCCTCTAGCCCAACATTCAGGGGAAGTGATTTCTCTCCTAAGCAATGAGTACCAGATTACCACAATAAGGAAAGGAAAATGGAAAGATGTTTTTGGATTTTGGTTGAAATCCCTTGTCTTTTTTCTTTCTAAAAAAGAATAATTTGAACTTTTATGACATGCCAGCAGTTTTTGAGCAGTAGTCTCTCTTTTTTCTCACACAGGGCAGTTTGTTTTATTAAGGTGCCCTATCTGAATGAAACAAAACCTTTATATTCCTCCTCTTGTTTTATTTTTGCTTTGTTTGTTTTTTATAAAAGATTGAGATTTAACAAAGTATAACACTGCCCATGTAGCCTAAGTGATTTTTTTCTTTTAATTCACAGATGCACATGTACTCTCTGGGGATGACCCTGTTCTGGGGAGCAGACTATGAGATCCCCCAAAGTCAGGTAACTCATTAGGAGATGTAATATGTAAGTTGGTATTGAAGGCTCATGTCGATGACTAAGATGTGTTTGTTATTTTTAGTAAACTTAACAACGCCTTTCACTATGAGTTCATGTCTCCGCAAGAGTTAGTTTGATGTAAAACACAATCTGCACACCCTGGTCATGTTTGTGAGAAAGTACCGCCCACAGGTTAGAGGTTTGCCATCCACTTTGCTTCACCGAAGTGTCAGGCTCTGTCAGACCTTGTGTCATTTCACTCAGACATGAAATGCTCCCTGTAGTAGTGCTCATAGCACCTGCAAAGTTGAGACGAATACAGTGAGTCATTGTTTCTGATGAATGTAAATAGAGTGTTATGAGTGACATGACGTGGACACGTGAGTCCGGTGTAGAAGGAATGCAGCATCCATAATGTGACTTACTGTATGTCCAAGTAAAGCAGAATATATGAGCAGGGTAGTAGTGGACTGAGCCTCCACCTACCGCTCCTTCTTGGAAGAGGATGAGGGAAAAATAAATAAATTAAACCTCATCCAAATTCTTTGGAAATGTGAGTGAAGCTTCTGCCAACAAAAAAACAAAAAAAAAACAAAAGAAAACCCACATTCACATTTGGTGTCATGACCTATAAGCTAACAATCAAATGTGGTTTTATATGATGAGAGGGGTTGGCTAGTTGCCTTAGTTAATGTCATCGGATAGTTCTCTACTGCCGCTGAGTTCAAGACATCAAACATACTTTAACACTTCACAAGAAGGGAAAATGACACATTGACTGAACAATTCTCACAGGGACACAGATTTTAAACTTGGAACTTTTTTTTTTATTATACTTTGTGTTTTATGATCCTGCATCCACCATATTTGCCTTTTACTTTGAATGCTATCTCTGCACGCACTGCCTACTTTACATAGCGAGCACAACAATTACATCAGTGTGAAGAATGTACACGTTATGTGATTACTCTGTTTCCACTTGTACACATTTATCTCACTACATGAAAATACAGGTATCAGATTCAAAGATACCAACAGAGCTTGTCATTTAACCTGTCACTCTGTTTGTCACGCAGCCTATGAAGCTGGGGGAACACCTAAACAGCCTGCTTCTCAACATGGCTGATGATGTTACATTAAGTCGAATGTCTCTGCGCACGGTGCTGGACATCTGCAGCAGACACATCAGAAACTCCAGTTGTGAGCCTCCCTTCTCCTATATCAGAAAACTGGTCCGGTTGGTTCTGGGCAGTCTTTCTCAGGTACACAGTTTATTTATGTACGTCAAAGCCAACATTCCTGTCCGTTTTTCCATATTTTTATTTTAGCCGCTTGCCAGAAATCCTGCGCTTCACGCTTTTTCCTAGCTAAGTACAAGTTTTAAAAGACTATCATCACATAATACACAAACACCACGTACTGTAACAAGGCTTCTGCTGATGGAACATTTCAGGGTGAGTGATTCTTAGAAGACACAACCCCAAACTTCTGTTTTTTCTCCTCCTGCTTTTTTTCGCCTCCTGCTCTTTGTTTTTCTTTCTCTTTTCCTCCCACTCATGTTGTCTTGTTTTCGCAGCTGGACGGCCTTCTGACTGATAGAGAATCTCTTCCGGAGCGGAGTAAAGAGATTCGGGAGAGACTCAGGGGCAAAGGCTTGCCGTCAGGTAAGATGAGCTGTATTAACGCACGCACAGTCCACTGAACAAAGACAAATAGAGCTGTATTTGCTTGATGTGCTATTAAGGAATTTTCCAGTGGTGTAGATAGATTCCTTTATTTATGCAGCAATTCAGATTTTTGGATTCGGATCATGATGAAGGGGTCTGCTTTCTGTCAGTTTTCGAATACGTAAAAATTAGGTTATACATTACTGTGCTTTGTGGTTTTGTTTACCTTCTTATGAGTGTCTAGAAATTCTGAATCTAGGTCAAACTATATGTTCGTTCTTCCTAATAAACTGAGGTGGTGTGCACTTTGACAGTGTCTCTTTGGATATACTGTTTATATATATTAGTTGTTTACATTCATAAATTCAGTGTAAATGCCTTCCCTGATTGTCAGAGTATTCATCATTTACATCCTCACTTTCTGAGTTTGTTGGAAAGTAGATGAGGAACAACACACTGTAACCTTGAATCAGAATTTAATTCAGGAAAATATGACCAAATCTTCCTAGTGGTTTCTGAGAGAACTTCGGCATTTTTCCAGGCCATGAAAAGGAGAGCAGAGCACAAACATGGCTGTCATCCTGATTATGTAAGCACGGCATGGCATTGATTACAGTTGCATATTTCAGAGTCACCAGTGAAGCTGCTGGTCTGCTGTCTGTATCAGTGCTTTGTTTTCCTGGTTGAGCACCAGCCAGCCCTAGGGAAAGTACATGCAAAGAAGATTAGTCAGTTCTTAAGCTTCTGTCTTGTCAAGGAGCTGCTGATTCCCTCCTGTATTCCAGCATCTCTATGTTGTAATTGCTGCTAAGGGAACTCTCTTTTTATGTTGGATACTTTATCATTTCTTCATTGCTGTAATCCAAAAGACAGTAACAGCACACGAGTACTGGCTGGAGAACCTGTGACCACAGTTGACTTCTTTAAAAAAAAAAACAAACAGGCCTCCCGTTGAGATTTTATTTGTTTCATTTTTCGCTCCATCTAGTCCTTGTGTGCTTCTCTGGGTTCCTGGAAGACAGCCTGTCTGGCTTTGATGTGTTTCCATGTTAAGACCAAGCATATGCTTTCTACATTAAACCACCACACGCAGCATTTTTACAGGACTTAGTGTCTCCCTCTCATTTCAGCATCTCTTCCTCTTGTTTATGCACATGTTTCTGTTTTATCTGTCTTTCTAAAACAGGAGCTGTCACAGTCAGAGTTTATATATGATTTGTCTGGAAAGGCAAAAATTAGGGATTGTCAAAGAAAACAACATTTATTATTTGCTTCTCTAAGAGACAGTGATGGGCTGGGCACCTGTAGAAATTGTTTGTTTCGGTTGCACATTATGTTGTTCTATTGTTTTTGAACAGTGCTAAAATTAGCTACTGCACAAAATGGGCTGTGTGCAGATATAGCGGGTACTCCTTAATGTCAAGATCTAATTTTGGTTTTCTTTGTGCTGTTGGTTTACTTTACAGATTAATTAGTTTTATTTAATGATAATGAGTGCTACATTTTCTTGGGGCTGTATATCTGAAACGTCCTGCTGCTGTTGCTAATTATAATTGAATGTTATCTAAGCCGTTAAGTAACAATGGCTGTTGGATGTTATTTAAGAAGCAGGTGATGGTGTCTAGTCTGTCAATCAATAATATATTCTGTACCGCCTTTTAACAACTGACTGAGACATATTGTAGGCCTGCCCTGTTTTCCATTTACTGAGGAGGGTTGTCCACATTAAATCACTCAGTAGAGGGAGTATGAGAGGCCTGTGGGAGTCTGAGGCCAAGCTAGAATATCAGAGCAGTGGAGGGGGGAGCCTGCAGCCAACTGTGCCATGTTTTGTTACCATGTCATGCTAATGCTGGAACAACTAGATGCCAGGTTGCCAGGTTCGACAGGCACTTACGGAATGAAGTGTACTGTATGTATTCAAACCAAAATCCCTCTCAGTCCCTCTTCTCAACATAAATACACTTTCAGTGTTAATGTTAATGATGTTATCCACCAGGAAATGCTTCATATGATCTCTGTATTAGAATACCTGCTAAATGGTTTTACATTGTTGGTATTCAAGGTAAATATAGTGTTTTACTGTGTTTTGAGACTTTGGTTTCTGGCTGTGTGAACTTCTGCTTGTGGCTTTTTCTTGTTTTCAGGGAGGAGTGCCGCCCCCAGAGTTCTGGAGCGCTACCGAGCCAGGACTCAGGAGCAGACGTCTCTTAATCGGGGCCTCAGTCGTTCCATGGGGTCCCTGCCAATCCAGGGCCTGTTGAAGGGGGATAGGGGGGCAGACCTTCAATATTCCCTGACTGACTATCACCCCAACTCTGATTTGCCAACAGATCTCCATCCCAATACTCCCTCTTACCAACAACAGCTTGCCTATCCCTATCTACACCCTCTTCACCCCCAGCAAAAAGGCCGGCCCGTGGAACTGGACCGGAGGTCTTTACCTTTCCATGGTGGGGATCTGGGTTCTAGTCAGGCCAGGAAGACCTGGGCTTCCTCTGTGGACTTGGCTTATATTGACCCTGAGGCTCTTCGTTTTGGGGCATTAGAGGATGCCCGAAGGGGCAGCAGTGCCTTAAGTACCCAATCTATAGGCAGGCGCATCCAGGCACCCAGGGAGAGGGATTCTGGCTACCTTGAGTTTGGACAGGATAAAGGAGAGGCAGAGAAAACTTCAGGTGCTAAGGCAAGCAGTAGATGGTGAGTATATTTTCTTAACATAAACGTTCAGTATAGGACTTACATCAACATGCTTCTAACTTTTTATTTGAGTCCTCAAGCTCAACTGATAAGTCTTATGTGTTTATGTCACTGAAATTCATTGTGAAATCTATAAAACATCTCGTGTCACAAGAAAAAATCAAACCGGTATGATGTGTTGCTTGTGTAGGACCTGCATCTTAAGGCGACTTTATGCTTCATCAGAAGTGCTTCTCAGACGGTCAAAAGGCTTCAAGTACCCTTTCCCCGCACACTGTCCCAACGTCTAAGGCTGAAGGGCTTAGACAGTTTCTGTAACTTTAAGAAACTGACACCCACATCAAACTGTGATTGAAAAATAGTCGGTGTTTGAATTTCTCTCTCAATTTTGTTTTGTTCATTCTTTGCAAAGCAATTTCTGTTGCTTTTAAAATGCGCAACTGTGTCTTCCAGGATTGACTGCTGGAAAATAAATAATAAATAACTTGTAAACTATAAGCTCCTTTACCTTCTGCTGAGGCCAGACAAAGCATTGTGTGGCCTAGTTTGTTTCCACCATAATTTTCTAATTAATGTGCACATGGCATATCCTGGATGATCCTCATTTCTAAGATGACTAAGAAACTTAAAAGCCGTTTTGACCTTTTGTGATAATTGGAGAGAATTGTATTAACAAAAGAGAATCTTCACTGGCTGTCTTTTAGTACAAGATGTGATTGATTTGTTCAGTGTAATGGGTGTCTTATTTACCTTATCTGCTCACACAACAATCACCCATTCAGTTCTTCACCTAGTACTGCAGGATAATGGGATTCTGGTGATACTGTATCTGAGCTTGGTCATCTGCCATTATTGTGCAATATGTGGTGCCTGTGGTTTGTCAGAACATGTAGTGCATGAGTTACCTCAGTGGTGAATATGCATGTTATGTGTTGGGTCTCCCAGTTTCAAACTGGAAATTCCCACTAAAGTTCTTGGCTTTAGTCTGTGAACATTTGAAGGTCCCAGCTGTGTCAAACTGTGCGGTGAAATGAATTTATCATGGAGGGGTACAGCAGCCTGGGTGAGAACGCTGTAGGGAGCCATCGGCTGGGTTGATGTGAAAGGTGAAAAGTGACAGTGATGGGATGATGTGCAGACAGACGCCCGGACTTGTGTGTCCATCCATGTGGGATGAGAGCTGAGTGCTGGCTTGAATGAAGTATCGTTGGCAGTGGCTGGGCACCAGTGTTTAGACAGAACGTATGAGTCACTGGCACAGAGGTTTCCACAAGGCTGATTCTAATTACAGGCCAGCTTAATTCTAGCCTTCTGCTGTCATATGTGCTATAACGCAAAGTTCCTCAATTTTTTTATATGTAGCTGTAAACACAGGACACATGCATGCAAATATAGTTAACAACCTTACAAACACCCAGGGTGTTTACAGACTAATAAAGCAGTCTTTGAATAATCACATGTTTAGGTTGAGCGCACACAACACAGTTGTGTAACATCTCAGTAGTCAGCCACAAGAGCTTTGTTTTCCTCAGGAGCTTATTGAATTCTTAGTAAAGTCTCCATAGACAGGCTAGTTTTATGCCGTGAGCCACGTGGGTATACGAGTCTGCTGGCGGTATGGGGACAGCGACATGAGAGGTGAATGGTTTCATGTAATATAGCTTACCTCTTCTTCCTTTTCCTCTGACTGTTCTTCCGTACTCCTCTCTCTCCGACTCCCTCCAACCTCCATGCTTTTCTGGCAGCTATTTTTAATGCTGCCCGAGCCACCAACCAAAAGCATTCTGTTCCTCAACAGTGGCTTTTTATCCCCAGCATTTTCTGTCTTTCCTTCCATTCCCTTTGCTTTTTTCCTGATTGTAATCAGGGCACTTGTAATCTTCATAATGGTATGAAGAGAGGAGCTGAGCTTCTCTGCCTAGCAGTGTCAGAACAAGAGCAGTGGGGAGTCCTGGTTTATTGTCCCACCTATCAGACTGTGTGTCTGTGCGTGTAATGTATACTTTTGAATGTACAGAGAAGGTTGAGAGGATTTTCTTTGTTTTGTTTCAGTTGTTATTAGCTCCAATTATGATTAATATTAAACACCATGCTGATGTGAAGGAATGTTTATTCCCATCAAGACTAAGAGTGACTATGAAGGCTGAGCCAAAATATTTTTTATTGCATCCTAGAGCTGTTTGCTGTAATGTGACTGGGGCCTAAGTGAGTACAGACCATTTGCAAAGCCTTAAAGATTCTTTTCTTTCTTTCTTTTTCTCTGACTTTTTTCTGCAGGAAAGTGATGGTGCAGCAGTGATCAGTGCTCTCAGGTTTCACCCCGTTATTAACTGCTTCTCTGTTTTGTGTGTGTGCTTTCGTGTTTGCAAAAAATGTTCAAGTGAGTGAATCCATATTACATGAACACAGCTAACATTGTGTATGCACATGCCTGTTTGTGCATGGGCATGTTTATGCCTTTTCCCCAGCACACCCCCCAACACCCATCCTTTTTTGTGCCAATCATTAGAAACTTTGCTTGCGGACCCAGAAGCTGTAATTAGAGTCATGCATAGCGGATGAGGGATTTCCGAGCGTTATTGAACTTTTCCAAGCATTTGGTAACAGGTCGTTTGGTTCTGGACTCGGGCAAAACGGTACATTGGAGGTGGAAGTGTATGAAAAAGCACAGCCTCCAAAATTTCCTGATTATTTTACAGTTTGGTTTGGTGACTGCAGTTTCTGCAGCATGAAAAACTATAGGGCTTCTAGGGGTTTTATAAAAAGCTTTTGACCAATGAGTTTATTTATGATCCATTTTAATCAACACCCTGAATCATTTCCTGCATACTGTATAAAAATCATTAAGGGTACACAAGCTGTGTGGGTATGTTGTAAATATACACTTTTGCATTACATTATTTTTTTCTATTTGTGTGCTTGAATTGTAGTTCCACAAAATCTAAACTGTGTGTGTTTATTCTGAGTCAAGTGAATTTAATTTTGGTGAAATTTAATAAGAATAAGGCTGTTACCCATTTTATCTTATGCTTTAAAGGGAATTCTCCCTGGGACCTCCAGACTTCATAAAACCCCAGAGTCTGAGTTTGTGTCTCTTCTCAGCTAAAGCATCCCAAAAGACCATAGTCCATGTGTTAGTGTGTTAGTGTGCTCAGAAAGCTTGAGCAGAAGTGTCAGTTATGCAAGGACTAAAGTGGGGGGTGAGAGGAACCAGGAGAGCAAATGAGAAGATAAGTTAAAGGGAGGAGAGGTGGAGGTAGCATAAATTATTCTCTTGAGAGGATGCTCTTCCAGTTAAAGTATGTGCAGAATGTTTTTTTTCCCAGCAAGTGTGTGGCTTTCTACACTGAGAAGAAGAGAGACCTGAAGAAGTAGTTAGTTGAAGCATTAAACTAGAGGTTCCCACACCTTTTCTGCTAGTTCTCCCCTTTTGGGAATAAAATCTTTTTGAGCACCCTTACCACCCCCATCACCAACACGTCAGTTATATTTATCTCCCTACAGGGCCCTTCCCCCAGTTTGAGAACCACTGCATTAAACTATGAATGAACTGGTCAGACCTGACCTCACAAAGTATTTAATTACAAAAACTGACATTGACCAAAATCTTGCTGTTTTTATTTCTTTCATTGTCATGTTGTGGATGTACTGTATGTGTGTACTTGTTACTAATTGTCCTTAAGTTGGAAGCGAAAAGGATTCAGAGACTCAGCTGATTAATTCTATTTATTTTTTGTGGGAAGGGGCACCGAGAAGGAAACTATGCAGTAGGCTTCATCTTTATCTGAGTCGCCCTGTATCTAATCTTTCTGCTCTCTCAATCACTCAGTGAAACATTCACCTCATCAACGTGATCGTGCTGTCACACTGTGGTTAATGTATCAGTCTGTGGACAGGTTGAAGTTACTCCACCAGTCTCATTCATAACATTTTACACATGTGTGTGATGTATTTGTTGAACAGTTGTATTCATTATGTCTAATGTTATTAGTTATGGTGGATACTTATGTTTTAGCAGTGTTTTGTAACATGATATTTACTTACACGTACAAACAACAAGTTGGTGTTTGCATCGTGGTCTTGCCTGTTATTTTTGCCATAATTAGAACAGTCACCTTTCTATAACTGGATGTTTTTATAATGTAGAAATTGTCCATTGCAACATCTATGGGATAATATAAAATCAAATCATCCCCAGTTTTTCCTGGATCATAGCAACTTTTATAACGGAGTAGATGTAAATGCATTTGGCTTGTTGCTTAAATTAGTTGTTGCTGTGTTTGTTTTTTTATTGTCTTTTACAAAAATAAGTAGCGCATAAAATACTTTAATTTAGAAATGTTTTTACTGGCGTTGGTTTATTTACAGCATAACTCAAAAGAATGGATTTGGATGAAGTTTCTTGGAGAGGTAGGGTATGGCCCAGAGAACAAGCTGTTAGATTTTGGTGCTGATCCAGATCATCATCTGGATCTAGAAATTATTTAAAAGGATTTTTCACCACTGTGAGTGTTGGAAAGGCTGTTGACTGTATGTAAGATCTCTGTTGGAAATCGTAGGGTATGGCCCAGAGAACAGGCTGTTAGATTTTGGTGCTGATCCAGATCATCATCTGGATCTAGAAATTATTTAAAAGGATTTTTCACCACTGTGAGTGTTGGAAAGGCTGTTGACTGTATGTAAGATCCACCCTGTGGCAAGCATGTGGTCCCGAGCACTTAAAGCGAAGACGAGGCATGCTAATAGGTGTAGCAGGAGGCATGTTGGAATACAGACCTTAAAATAGACTTAATATTCATCTGCATGGGACACTTATTTTGCCTGGTATTGAGTAATCACTCATGTTTATCATTTTTCTTGAATACCTTTCAAACTAATAATGATACCAATGTGATTCCTAATGCTGGGGGCAGGTTTTCTTTCTTAAGGAAACACATTATGAAGATCAAACCATCATACGAATATTGCTTTTAGGTATAATGGCATTATGGGGAAAGTGAGCTGCCTTGGTGGAGGTTTGCGCTCTGACTGCTGTTTAATCTTGTTTCTCTTCCCTTTCCTGCCAAGCTGTAATCATTAGCCCCTGTTGACACATCTCTTTGATAGGGATGGGCTGTTCGTGTGACAGAAATAGGTTTCATACCTCTTTTTCTCTGAGTTATCTGCACGTCACCCTTTTAGATCTTCCAAATTCATCTTAACTGCACATGTAGGAGTGTAGCAAGAGAGTAGAATAGGTGATGCATGAATGTGATGTGTCAGTATGGGAGTTTTATCAAATATGTAAGTCTTTGTACTTGCATGATTAAAGCTAAGATGGTAAATCGGTGTAAATTACATACAAGAGATGGCTTCTCCTGGTACCTTTTAACCCAGATCATGTGCTTTTTACTTAGAATGTTTACATAAGATAGACATCAGTAGGCTGTTAGGCTCATCTGAACTGAAATGCCTGAGCAATGACTGGGTGAAGGCTATTCATTCAAACTATGTGGCTGATACTGAAGAGCAGGATTTTCGTGTTCTGTGTACAAGGTATGACGCATCAGATTGGGGTACAGACTCTTGAGTGTTGTTGTGTTTCCAGAGACTTCCAGTTCATTATTTGGTTTATGAAGCACTGATTTGAGGAACGTACAAACTGCGGCAAGCTGGTCTGTACTTGCTGTGGTTCACCCAGTCAAGCAAAATATAAGACTATCCCCTCAGTAAAATGGCTAACAGGAGGCATGTCAGTATACACTTGTGCTGAAGCTGCTCTTCAGTCTTTACTTAGGAGTGTTTACCAACCGCATGACTAATAGCTGCTTTGTGTGTCTCAGTGGACTGGTCCGGGATCACCAAACCAGTCAACTGAGATGCCAGCGGTCTAATTAAGATTTAGAAAGTCCTGCAAAACAGTTGCTTGTGTCCACCAGATTAACTCGTGTTTGCATTCGCATATTGTCCAACTTTTATTAAAAAGTGGTACAACTTTTTGTGAGGTTCCGTGTTTGTGGTGTTGAAGAATAAATTGCTTTGTCCCTCACAAACAAAAAACAAGTCCATATAACAATCTTAAGTTGTCTAATGTGCATGAAGGTGACATTTGATAGTTCCTCATTTCACAGACATCTTCTTATTACCTCATGGTTCCTGTTATGTCATTTTGAAAAATGTTCATGGTCGTTCTCTTCCCCCAGACCCAGTTCACACCCACCAGAGGTATCACAGTGATTACAGTTCATCCAGTGAAAGCCCCTCAGTGACCTCCTCAGATCCAGACTACAGACAAGGTAAAATATCCCTCTGAACAATTCGTTATCATTTTTTTCATAGAGCTATATATATTTTCCATTTTCCAAATAGTGAGATTGTTCCAGTCCAGTAATAACCTTCCTATCACAACAGACCAAATTAATCGGTTTATAGGAAAAAAGAAGTAACCACACTTGGGAGCACATGGTTCTCAGTCTTGTTTCTGTGGATCCACAGCCCTGCTGGTTTCACTTTATCCATCTAATCAAGAGTTGGAATTGGCTAATGTCCTTAGCTATGTAGGGCTGCATAAGATAACATCATTTTCAGTGCAAAATGAAATTGTTCAATAAACATGGTGAAGACTGCAATATCAGAAAAATGTGGGAGCCTACAGATTCAAGTGTCAAACTAAACTTTGGCTGCAGCATTGAACAAAGATTAGCTGTAATCTTTTCAAACTGATGTACAGACGTACTCAAAATCTCTGTTGTGTCAGTTGTAAGAGGCCTGAGTTACTGTGAACAACCGTGTTAGAGATGGTCTCTCACAATTGAACTGTTTTGTCAAATTTGGACCTGATGAGACCTGATGTTATATTAGCCCTTAATCCTGCTCCTCCTATAGAATCAACTCTGTCCAAACATATCGGAGCACGCTGCTTATAGACTTGCTATTATGAAAACATGTAGGCCTCCAGGCTATTAATGAGCTTCATCTGAATGGAAATTGTAGGGTTACATAGGACCTTGTTTCAACAGGAATTCAGCAGCAATGTTTTGTCATCTGTTCCTCCCTCTATGTTGCACCTACGTAGCCCAACATTTATAAACTAAACCAATTAGGCAGAATCTTTCCTCAGCCACACCTTCCAGTTTCTCTCAGGGATCCTTTGGCAGTTCTGGTTCATGGTTCGAGTGTCCTGATCAGATGCCCAGACCATCTCGGTAGGCTTAGTAGGCAGTTCTTCAATCCCTTCTGGCTAGCCTTCCCGCTCTGCTCTTTTGGGTGTGCCCAGACGACCTGAAAGGGAAACTCACTTCAACCAGTACAGTCTTACACTTGTGGTGACATGACAGTCCAGTACAGCTACAATGTTTCCACTGTACATCCGTTACAGTAAATACAAACAGAGCAGCACCTCACACAATACACTAATATTAATTTACTTAAAATTGTCAGTGTAACAGCAGACGGCGTTAACAACCACCCATACTCCGTCTTCACAAGTTGCGCTGTTGCATGACAGTTTGGACCTGAGTCAGACAGCTGTGAAGAGTTAACACACAAGTGGAAGAAGTGCCAGTTTTGTTTGAAACTGGCTGAAATATATTAAACATGTTCCAAAAAAAGAACATGGAGTCATAGAAGGGCACTTTATGTACTACACGAGGCTGTTGCTATAATGCAGCAGTGTTGTTTTAGTATTTTACACACAATGTCAACAGAAGACTAGAGATCCCATTTGTAGTGCTGATTCAACCTGATTTCAGTATTCAATATCAGCTCCTCCTCCAATGCATGTTCATGCATGTGCTTTTGCAGCACAGCATGTTTGTCTGTCTCTGGAGGCATGTGTTGGATTGTGTTAATGTGGGCACAAAATATAGTCCTTTGTGTTTGTGTCTACAACTCATGCTCCCATGTCTCCTCCAGCTAAGAAGCCAAACGAGATGAGGAGGTTTGGCTCCCAGCAGGCGCTTCCATCTGAACGCGATTCCCTGTCACACAGGTAACACACAGATGTATACAAGAGACAAGGAACCAGTTTAGTGGAAAAACATAAATCAGCCAACACCCAGGTACTAATTAGTTGATCCACATAGAAATCTGTGCCCTAATGGATGTCACAAACCCCAGTAGATTGTGACGCTCATCCCGAAGCACTTTTATTAGAGACACCTGCTCAGGGAAAACTCACAAACCACTTTCATTTTTCACATCCAAATTTGAAAGACATAGTTGACTCACTCCACTTAAACTCTGAACATTTTTAGGTAAATCATTAGGGTTTTGCTCAAAGGTATTGATTGTGTGTGGTATTATATAGCTCCTTACACCCCCACCTCCAACCCATACAGATGATTAACAGATTAGTGAATGTATCACTTGTTGTTTGCTTTTCGCTGCACTGATGTGGCATTATAACAGGGTGAGGTAGTATATGATTTGACAGCTGAGTTTGGGTATAAAATGTTGCATGAACTTCACAACCTGCCCTGCTGCACAGGACTGTGTATGTATGTGTTTGCTCATTTGTCGCCCTTCCCTACAAATCCTCTACAGAACAGGGAAGCTCCGTAATGAAGCTGACCTGCTTGGTTGTCTGGGCCACACACAGCTGGTGTAGCACAGCAGGATCAGCCCTGTGCTTCACTAGTGAGGTCATCTAATGTGACATGCACATTCAGCAATCTCTCTCTGGTCTCTGGCATTAAAAGACCTGAATTGTCTGTTGTTGGTGTGCCTGCTCACAGATAAACCACATTTTCAGTCTATCCCACAGCACAGAGAGGAAGACAGTTACCTAGTACTTGGTGTCTTCTCTGTGTAAACCCGTGTTGTTTGACATATATCTCTCTTATTGCTACTTATGTTATGACAAACGCAAAAGTCGGTAAATAAAAGCGGCACCTCACATTAAACAACAGCATTTTGCTGTTGTTTCTGTTCAACTCTGACAGGATTAGACTGTTCTGACACCACCCTCTGCTTCTCTTTTTCCTGTAGGCAGTATGAGGGGGCTGATGAAGAGCTGGTTGGAGCTGAGCTTCTCCTGCAGAAGCAGGAAGAAGAGGTGCAGCGACTTCAGGCCCACCTGGCCAGCAGGCTGTCCAGGGCCAATGTCTACCCCACAGATGACCCCCTGTATCCATCTCACACATCCATGCTTGACCTCCCAGACTCTTCTGGTCAACTCCGCAAACCCAAGGTTTGTTCACTTCATTTCCCGACAGACTCAGGGACATGTTCATGATGTTGTCTGCTTCAAGGATCATTTCATTTACCTTGGTAGCTTTGGAGGTGTTTGTATATTGTTAGAAGCACCTTGAAGTTTGATCTAACATGAATAGGGAGCCAGTTGGTAAAAATACCTCACAGCTGAAGCAAAGGAATCTTGTTCTTCCACCTCTGGTGTGATGTAATTACTCCACAAAACCAGCATGGAAGTGTGTGAAAAGGTAATAAGAGCGTTACATAAGCCGCTGTCATTGAAATTTTATACTCAGAGCAGGTATTAGAACAGCTGTGAACTTGGTAATGTACAGTATGTGTCTTGTGTGTCAAAGATCAGCACTCACAGCAAGTGAAGAAAGACAAAGTTGTCATAATTGCAATAAAATAAAACATGACAAGACGGCCCAGGCTGCCAATGATCCTGCACCATTTTGGTGGAATAAATTTCTTTCTATGACAGTTACTTTTTATCTATACACCAATGGCAGATCTTCCACGGGCCTGAGTTTGTGAAGATGGCCAGTGAGCCCTGTGTTTCCTTAACTGTTCCCTCTTCAATAATGGTGAGGATATAAACTTGTGCTGCTTCTGAATCAGTGTATCCATGGCTGTCAAAGAAACAGCTTTATAATCCAATTCTTATTCACTGCTACTCCCTTTTTAATTTCTCTGCACAAGAAACGTGGGAAGGTGGAGGAAGTGCAGAGAAAGGTGGGTGTGGTGCTGCTGAATGGCCAAAAGCTGGAGCTGAGTTGTGACGTCAAGGCAGTGTGTAAAGACGTTCTCGATATGGTGGTAGCCCACACCGGGCTTGTGGAGCACCATTTCTTCAGCCTAGCATACCTCAGAGGTACTGTGTGCTGTCGCTGTGGTTAGAGGTTCTTGTGTGTGCATGTGAGTGTCTGGTGCATGTAGAGGTTCAGTCTTGTGTGTTTATGGATGTACAGTGTCTACGTGTGTTGTGTATTCACTATACCGTAGTTAATATTAGTTATCACTTGCTATTTCAGTCCCAGTCCTGATAGACACAGACCTTAAAATCCACTTTTAAGAAAACATTTCAGGAATCCAGTGTTACTCATAAAACGTGCACAGCATTTATTCTAGAACAACCTTAAAAGTGTAAGATTACATATGTATGTTCAGTTAGTGTGTAGTGCACAGGTTCATGGTATTGTCATGTAAATGTATTTTCTACACCTGATGTCTTATTAAAGAACCAGCCTGAGTTCACTGATTGATTCCTCCTCACTTTGACTCCTCTCTCCCCCTTATCTCCTAAACATCACACCCACAGAAAATGAGTTTTTCTTCGTTGATCCTGATGCCAAACTGATTAAACTGGCCCCAGAAGGATGGAAGGAGGATCCGAGGAAAAAGAAATCTGATGTGCCTTTTAACCTTTTTTTGCGCATCAAATTCTTCCTTGATGATGTCAACCTCATACAGTAAGTGTATCTTTTGGTAATTAGCTGAAAACCTACTATGACAATGTGGTCTCCTTGTTTACAGACCACTTGCATTAAGGTAACCTACTTTTTCTGTGGATAACAGGCATCCTATGACCAAACATCAGTACTACCTACAGCTGAGGAAGGATATCTTGGAGGAGAGGTTGCACTGCGACACAGAAAATGCCATGTTGCTGGCTTCACTGGCACTGCAGGCTGAGTTCAGTGACTACCAGCCTGAGGTGTGTGTTATTAGCCAACTAATGACACCTTTACTTAAAATGCTCAGTTACTTTGATTTGTAAACTGTTTAAAATCATTTAAATCAGAAAGTTTTGCTGAATATACAAATTTCAAGTACAACATAACTATTGTTAAACTTTTTTGAAATAGAAATGAATTAACTTAAGCATTGGTGTCTTTATATTAATTATGAAATGATGAATTGGATTTTGGTCATTTGTGGTGTCAATCTGTTTGGCAGCTTCATGGGAAGACCTATTTCAGAGTGGAGCACTACCTGCCAGGGTCTGTTCTGGATAAGGCGGACCAGACGACCATCAAGGAAGAGCTGCTCAAACTTCACAGCAGCTACTATGGAGCATCTGAGTCAGAGGCAGAGTACGAGTTCCTCAAGGTCAGCAAGACCGGAGTGTACAGGAGTCAAGTTTTTGGCAGATGCAGCACTTTTCTTGAGGAAATTTGTAGCTAAACAGTTTGTGTTGCAAATGTGATAAATGTTTCAAGGGCATAAAATGGTAGGTGTTCCAGGAAAGGATTTACGTTGGTGGAACAAGTACTACATTTGGGCTGTTTGAAACTAAAGATCGCTGTCAATTAGAAACAAATGTAGCTGTGTCCTGCTACTGCATTTTATTCTGTAGCTGTGATATTTCTTACTGCTAAGGTTCAGTCTACTAAAGCAGCTCTATTTGCTTCATGCCAACAGACAAAATTGAGTCGTGTTGTAAAAATCAGTGGATTCTCATTGGATTACT